AACACTGATCGTATGCGTGCTTAATTACGTAAAATCACAATTCTTCAGGATACAGTGAAAACTAACGTCATAAAATTAATTATTTTATATAATTAGACTATTTCTACTATTACTTCACATGCTAAATGCAACGTTCTAAAGTACAAGATCATTGTTGTCAATGAAAATTCCACGTGCCATTATATTTCGCGCATTTATCTTAAAAAACTAATAAAAAGTTTAATGGATTGGTCTTATATTGACCATGGATTTAGGGTTCGAGGCACAGGAGAATGTTATTTAGAGATAAAATGTAAAGTTTTAAGGGAATTATTTGTTCATGATTTATCTCGGTAAGGTTAATAAAAAAGTTCTACAGCTGCTTCTTGTTCGCTATAAGAAAAGAAATTTTTTTGATTCATTGGTGGTGAAGGGACAACACCATCCTTGCAATTGCTAATGGTTTAGTTACCGATGATTTGACTGACAGCAGATAAGTAAAGTCGTTTTTTAAAAACCGGCAAAGTTCTATTTCGTTTGGGCTGCTTCGAGGAGGATAATAATGATAATTTTCATCTTTATACCAACTACAAGACTTACAAATCGTCATTAAAAGCTATAGTTGAATTTAGCCACCATATACAGCCTTTATTTTTGCTACCAGCGTTAGAAAATCTGGAATCGGGTATTTTTTATCGTAATTTTCTGTTTTCATTTTGATAAACACTCTACGTAATACTTACGTTTACTGAAGATGGGACTCGTAAATTTTCATTGGTTACTACCTGATTATAAAAGGACTCTATCTCGATCTGTGATTCCTTAGATATCACTTTTATTTTTTTTTGAATTGAATTGAAAATTGAATTGATGTCACTTGGGATATCGTCATTTGTCCGCAGATTTACTTTTATTGCCAGCGCTATAGGAGGGATATATTTAGCTGATGAAAAATTTAATGCAAGGACTTTGCAAAGAAATATTTTAACAATCTGGAATGGGTAATTTATTAATCTGAAAAATACTCATTATTTTAATTATATATTATATTATTGAAATAATTGTTCTATTAGCGTTTGTATAGGACTTGATTACAAAATAAATTTTCGACCAGGAAAAGGTGATAAAATTGAAGATTTACATGAGCGAGTTGCCAAAAGAATTTTAAATGTCTGTCTAACTAATGGGTATGTATAACTATAGTTTATCCTGTAAACGTTGTTAACTAAAACTTTATTTAAATTAATTTTATAGAGGTCTTTACATAAAATTAGGCCAAGCGATAGGAGTACAATCAGCAATTTTACCAGCAGGTAATTTTAGAAAGTCTGGTTATTTTTTTTTTGTGTTTTTTTTTTTTTTTTCAATTGCTGCTTTAATTATTATTCTTATAATACTTTAGCATTCCAAAGGACATTTAAACAATTATTCGATGATGCGTAAATTTCAATATTCACAACTTTTATTTTTATTAAGAGTAAAATTTCTTCTATATAAATAAATGAGTTTCATAATCATAATAGTCCAGCAGTTGACTTCGATCGTGTAGTCAAATTATTTAAAGAAGACTTTAATTGCCACCCTGATGAAATGTTTGATGATTCTGAACGTACAGCGATCGCATCAGCAAGCATTGCTCAGGTTTAGAATATTTAAACTTCACCATGATAACGTCGGGTAATGATTTTAAAATAATTTATTCTATCCTCTTTGTATATTCAGGTTCATCGCGCAAAACTCAAAAATGGAACACCGGTTGCAGTCAAAATACAGAAACCAGATATAAGACGGCAAATGGTTATTTTACATTTA